ACTTGTCTTAACAATCTGACTTTCCTTCACAACACTTGTTGCACTAAGGCATTCAAAGTCTGCAGTTTTAGTATTCAGTTTGAATGTTCTATTCCTTCCATGTTCTGACTTTATAACCAACTTTTGATTACAACCATACAACCTCAAAATATTGTCCTTCATGGTAACTGGAAATCATTTCTCAATTAATTGATCTACACTTATGAGATTTATTTTCATGCCAGGAACATACCACACATTCTGAATCAATGTTGTTTTACCATTATTCAGAACTACTCTGACATTTTCCATGCCTTCAGCATTGAGGTATTTGTCATCAGCGATCTTTGTCTTCTTTCTAGAGTCAAAATCAACCAGCCATTTCTTATTTCAAGTAAGGGGATTTGAGCATCCAGTGTTCATATACCACCAGTTTGTCAAATACGTATCATCAAATTTAAAAGCCATTAATAACACAAATTCATCATCACAATCTCCTCTGGCTATGTTTGCTTCTTCTGACTTTCTTTCCTTATTTGACCAATAATCAACAACGAAATGGCCAAACTTCTCACAACAGTAGCACCGAACCTTCCTTTTTCATACTTTTCCTTCCCCTTCTGAGCACTCTTTTGCCTTTCAGAAGTTGAGGTTTCTGACTTCTAAGCACCACCAGATCTCTTCCTGGCTTCTGACCACGACTATTTCTGATATTTTTTTACCAGAAGCTGCTTTCAAAGTTTGTTGCTCTACCTCTCTTTTAGAGTTTCTCTTAGTCAGATACAACTTTTGTACCTATAGACTGCTTCGCAGCTCTTCAATTCGCATGGTGCTAATATCCTTATAATGTTCAAATTTTACCACTATGTAATCAAACGGAGGAGTAAGAGATCTAAGTACCTTTTCAATGGTGTTTTCTTCGCTGAGAGTTTCTCCACACGACTTCATCTCATTTGTGACCAGAATCACTATGGAGATATAGTCAGGTACATTCTTATTGTTCTTCATGCTGAGATTCTCATACTGCTTACGTAGAGGCTGAAGCTTCACCTTCTTTACCAATGTGTCACTACCGTAACATCCATACATTGATGGATGTAGAAAAATTCCTTCTGACCCTTCTTCTTCAGATCACGCTGAGCATATTCCTTTGCGTATCCATTGCATTTTTTGGAAGTGCAACCGAAACGTAACTGTCGTTTCCGATATCAAGAACATCTTAAGCGCCAAATAACACACATATCTGAATCATCCATTGATTCCATTTCTTGTCATCGAACACTGGAAGCTTGGTACTTAGATTATTGTTTGTACTCATCTTCAACCTTGTGCAAATCACTCAGATTTCACCAAACACTCATGTTTCCAAATCTTGCAGAATCAAGAAATGTGATTCTGTTATGATTCTGATCAAGAAATTCAACACGAATTCAAGAAACAAAATCAATCACACAATACCTCACCGTTCACTTGTGTTTCCCTGTGGATTTGAATCGAAACTCTAGATATCAATTAGGGATGGCAACGGGGCGAGTCGGGGGCGGGTTTTACTATACCCACACCCGCACCCACCTCCATGTAACACACCTGCGCCCGCCCCCAAACCCAATCGGGGGTAAACATTTACCGCCCAGACCCGCCCCCAGTAGAGAACAGGTGCACCCGCCCCGCCCCCATCTGAAAAAAATTAATTTATTTTTAATTGCAATAAAAATTAATAATTTAATTAAAAAATTGATTATTTTAATAAATTAATTATTTATTTAATTAGTAAATGAGTATTAATTTGATTAGTTTAATTATTTAAATTGCAATAAATGTATTAATAATTTAATTAAAAATATAATTAATAAATGAATATTAAAATAAGTAAAATAAGAGAATTAAACTAAAATGCATTATTCGGGGGCGGGGCGGAGCCGGGTCTTAGTGTCTCCCCGCACCCATACCTGCACCCGTAATTAAAAGTCGGGTTTTTCCCGCACCCGCACCCGTACCCACTAAAACCGAGTTTTCCCCGCTAATTTCGGGGAGGGTCCGGTTTTCTTTGCCATGCCTAATATCAATTGTTTGTGCACAAGATGAAGAAGAAGATGGAAGAAGAGAGAAAATAAAAATAACAAATTTTCACTATTGTAAAACAGTTACAAAATGGTTACTGCACTACACCGGTGACATGCACTACTTATTGCTCAGTGTGTACAACTATTGACAGCTACACTAGTATATATACACAAACAAAAATATCATCCTGGCAATATGCTAACTTATAATGTGTGTGTGTGAGATTTTCTTGATTAAGTATTGAATGAAACTCAACAATAAATTTGGTTGAGAAACATGTAAAGCACCTAAAATGTGGTGTCATTTTCAAATTATCTTCGTATAAATGAAAATCATAAAAACAATGCTTGTGTTAATGATTCATCTCCTCCGTTTGATCCACAGTTAAATTATTGTTATTATTCTTAACTAACAAATCATGCAATGCAGTTAATAATATTATTAAAAATATGGTTAAATCTAAACTAATTAATATTTGATGAAAAAATTGTCGCTAACATTATTCTTCACTAACATTTGTCGTTAACATTAAAAATTAAAACTAATATAATTTAACTACTAATTAAAGCTCTAAAATTAATCAAAAGAGGTCGACAGTTGAAAATAGTGGAAATCAAAAGAACAAATAGCTTTGCATAAAGTAGAAATGAAAAAACTAAAACAAGAGAAAATGAGAAGAATTAAGAAGAATGCTTTTCTCGAAGAGAATGCAATTAAGTTAAAACTGAATTCAGAAGGGAAGGCTAGTAGAGTAAAACCCTTTAAAAACACATTTTTTGCATTCTCTCAAATTAAGGGAGGAGAAGTAATGTGAATTTAATAATTAATAAATTATTATATTTATTGAAATATCTTCTTACTATTTATCTTTTGTGCAATTTTACTCTATTACTTCTATTAATTTATTATATTTGTTATCCACCTTTAAATTATTTTTTCATATTTTTGTTTTTAATATAAATTATAACCACTGCAATATTTTTTTGCTTTTATTTTTATAATTTTTTATTTTTACTTTTATTACATTGTAATATATATATATAACTGAAACGTAACTATTATTGACGAGATTAAGAATATTTTTAGCGTTAAACAACACACATATCTAAATCATTCATCAATTTCAGTTCTTGTCATCGAACACTAGAAACTTAGTACTTAGTTTACGTTTGCGTTCATCTTCAATCTTGTGCAAATCACTCAGATTTCCCTAAACACTAGTGTTTCTCAATCTCGTAGAATCAAAAAATGTGATTTTGTTAGATTACGATCAAGAAATTCAACACATGCACACAAAATCACTCAAATTCAACACATGCACACAAAATCACTCAGATTTCAAAAAATATGATTTTGTTACGATTATGATCAAGAAATTCAACACATGCGCGCACGCACACACACAAAAAAATCACTCAGATTTTTCCAAACACTAGTGTTTCCCAATCCTGTAGAATCAAAAAATATGATTTTGTTACGATTATGATCAAGAAATTTAACACACACACACACACACACATATATATATATATATATATATATATATATATATATATATATATATATATATATATATATATATATATATATATATATATATATATATATATATATATATATATATATATATATATATATATATATATATATATATATATATATATATATATATATATATATATATATATATATATATATATATATATATATAAAAGTCATTTTATATATTTAAAAATTATCATCAACACATAGTTTAATTTGTATTTGAGAGTTATAATACGAATTAAGTGTACTAAATTTTATTTAATGTGATGTGGTAAGTTAAAAAATTTATTAGCAAAAAATACTTTTTCAATTTTGAATATTCCATCATTTATATAAGGTCATTAGAATAAAAATAAAATTTATTATTAAAATCTCTTATTTTCTCTCGTAAACCAAACATGTCTTTAATTAAAATTTATCTATTATACTCCCTTCTCCTCTTTTAAATCAAACATATATATAATATAAAAAATTCATCATCTCTCTTTCCTTTCTCTTTATTAAAATCTTTTTTCTCCCCCTCATTTGCATTAAATAAATCTTAAAGAGTGTATTTGAATTAAGCATTTTAATAAGAAAAAATAATTTATTTTAAAGAAATTAAAATTATTTGACAAAATTTTATTATTTAGATAAAAAAACATAGATAATTGTTCAAATGTTATAAATTTATGAAGAATTTTATTCAAGTTAAATTTAAGAAATTTCAAATGACATTATAAAGTAAAAAATTTAAAATTGCTCGTTCCTTTATATAATTCAAACATTAAATTGTTTATTATCAATTTATTAAATTTTGCAAGATGATCTTCATATTTTATAAAAAAATTATATTCACCTCTAAATTTTTTTTAAAATTATAAATAAGTCTTTAATAATTTTTAAAATTTATAAAATAGTCCCTTTCAAAATTTTAAAAATTACAAATTGGTCCCTATTTTTTAATATTTTAAATTTGGCTCAAATTTTTTAAAATTATGAAAATGACCCTAAAAATTTAACAATGAATCATTTTAATATTCCATACAAATAAAATAATTGTAAAATGAATAAATTTCAATTGAATCATTCAAATTATTTAAAATTTAAAATTTTATAAAAATACTCAATTATCTTATCCAAACAAATTCTAAGTGAATTAGAAATATTTTTAGACTATTTAATTAATTACGAAAAAGATAACGAGAAGTGTAATTTTAAAAATAATTGAAGGACATTTGATTATCAGTTAATTATTTATTATTAAGGCAACTTGGCCTTCTTTTTGTTAGGATGCTCTCACATTTTGAATGCAAATGAGATGATTTATTTATTGACCAAAATAAGCAAAGGTAGTTTGGCATTCATTTCTATCAATCTGGTTGCTTCGTTGACTTGGAGCAATCTGAAACTCATCATCTTCACTTCATCTAATGGCTTTGCGAGATTCCTCTACCTACGAATACGACGTGTATCTCAGCTTCAGAGGTGAAGATACGCGCCATAGTTTTACCGGAAATCTCTACAGAGCTCTAGATCAAAGAGGGATCCGTACCTTCGCTGATGACGGCATGCTTCTTAAAGGAGACGGACCCAGTCGATCGCTTTTGAAGTCAATACACCAATCAAGGATTGTCATAGTTATATTCTCTAACAACTATGCCTTTTCTACTTGGTGCCTGGAAGAACTCACTGCGATCCTAGATTGCTATGAACATGACAAGAAGAATGGCCGCGTGGTTTTACCCGTTTTTTATGAAATGGATCCTTCTGATGTGCGACACGGGAGAGCAAGCTACGGAGAAGCACTGGCTAAGCATGAGAAGAGGTTCGTGAAGGATGGTGTCCAGAAAGTACAGAAATGGAGGATGGCACTGCACAATGCAGCTAACCTCGCTGGCTTTCATATCGAGTATGACTTCCACCTCCAAATTTAAACCAAACATCTCCATTGTTTTAATTAAATTTTTCACTGATTGATAAACAATCATTCTATTTTGTTCGTTTATAATTTTCATTTGATTTTATAATTCAAAGGGGACAGAAATGCTTCTTTATCCTTACGAGAACGAGTTGAAAATAAAAGCATTCATTTTTTATCGATTAGGATCGACTTACTTGAATTTGATTATAACATTTCGATAACCTCTCAAAGATAGTTTAAAAATTATTGATGGTTTATGTGAAAACAATTTCAGTTTATTTTATCTCTTGTCATAGAAATAAACTATACATATACATTTATATGATAAGCTATTATGCTATAAAAGCTTTTAATTAAACTGATTATCCAAATTATCTTCACACAAGTTTCTCTGATTGAGCAGGAAGGGTGGATACGAATATAAATTTATTGAGAGTATCGTTAAGGAAGTCCATAGCATGATTTCTCGTGTGTTTTCACGTGCTTCTTTACGTGTTGCTGATTACCCCATTGGATTGGAGTCTCGAGTGGGTAAAGTAAAATCACTTCTGAGTCTTGAGTCTGATGATCTAGTCCAGATGGTAGGCATCCATGGTATAGGTGGAATTGGGAAAACTACAATTGCTCTAGGAGTATATAATTCAATTGGTGGCCAGTTTGAAGGTCTGTGTTTTCTCGAGGATGTGCGAGAGAATTCAATGAAATTTGGGTTAGTACATCTTCAAGAGATTGTTCTTTCAGATATGTGGCGATGGGGATATTGACATACAAAATGTGAAAGAAGGAATTTCAATGATGAGGAAAAGGCTATCCCGGAAAAAGGTTCTATTGGTTCTTGACGATGTTGACAAAATGGAGCAGCTTCAAGCTATTGCAGGAGCATCCGATTGGTTTGGTCCTGGCAGCAGAGTCATCGTTACAACCCGGGACAATAATTTGCTGGCAAAACATGATGGTGGATTTGGATTTGGAAGAACATATGAGGTAGAGGAATTAAGTGAAAAAGAAGCGCTTGCTCTTCTTAGTTGGAATGCTTTCAAGACCGACAAAGCAGTTGATCGAAGATATGCACATGTTTTAAATCGTGCATTGACCTATGCTTCTAGGCTTCCACTGGCTTTGCAAGTATTAGGCTCTTACTTGTTTGGAAAACTTATAAACGAATGGAATGATGCATTGGATGAGTACGAAAAAATTCCTGATAAAAATATCCTAAGGGTACTCAAAATAAGCTTTGATTCCTTGGAGGAAGAAGAGCGGAGAATTTTTTGTGATATTGCTTGTTTCTTCAATGGACATAAATTGGTAGAAGTGGAAGACATACTTGGGGCTCATTATGGTTTATCTGTGAAAAATAGTATAGGAGTGTTGATTGAAAGATCTCTCGTAAAGATTGATGACGGTCTTGTCACATTACACGACTTGATACAAGACATGGGTAGAGAAATTGTCCGACAGGAATCACCAGATGTGCCTGGGAAACGAAGTAGGTTATGGCTTCCACAAGATGTTGTTCAAGTTTTACAAGATAAATCTGTGAGTAATTGACTGCTATAGGGTGGTTTGATTTTTCATTTGTTGTATCCTTGATTTATTTTGACTGTTACATAGGCAAGAAAATAAGATAAATATCCTTTTGTTTCTAATCTTTTGTTGACAGTACCAATGCAACAAATATAGTTCTATTGCGATTGACCTGTACTTTTATTTATCTTAAAAAGGGTTCTAATACAGTTGAAAGCTTATTACTGGATTTCCCCAAAGATGGAATAAACTCAAACGGCGAAGAAGTAATTTGGGATGGAGAGGCCTTAAAGAAGATGCAAAACCTTAAAACACTTATTATTAGAAATGTTCGTCTTAACAAAGGCCCAACACATCTTCCCAATAGTTTAAGAGTGTTGGAATGGTCGGGGTATCCTTCATCGTCATTACCTGATGGTTTTCATCCAAAGAAACTGGTGATACTCAAGTTATCCGAGAGTCGCCTAAGGATAAGTGAACCAATTCAGGCAAGTATTTGTTTGAGTTTGTGTACTTTCCGTATATACTAATAAATTCAGTTTAAATTCTTATGATCCTCTATTTTATTTTGCATTTTAGGGTTTCAAAAGTCTGGCAGTTTTGGATTTCAGCTACTGTGAATGGATAACTCATATATCTGATGTATCTGGCCTCCCAAATTTAGAAAAATTATCTTTAAAACATTGTGAAAATTTAACTCAGATTCACGAATCAGTCGGACTTCTGGAAAAACTTAGAATATTGGATGTTGTTCATTGCCAGAAGCTCAGTGCTTTACCTCCAATCAGATTGACCTCTCTTGAACAACTCAATCTTTCACATTGCTCAGCTCTTGAGAGTTTCCCAGAAGTATTGGGGAAGATGGAAAACCTGACAGAGCTTCATATAATGGCAAGTCCCGTTAAAGAATTACCATTTTCAATTCAAAACCTTATTCGGCTTCGAAAATTAGAACTACACATATGTGGAATGATTCAGTTACCAAGTAGCATAGCCATGTTGGCAGAACTTAGTTCGATGCGTGTTTCAAAATGCCAAAGGTTGTGTTTATCCAAACCGGACACAGGTGAAAATTTCGAGTCCAAGTCATCAAAGACCGAGCATCTTATTCTGTCATATTGCAACATATCAGATGACTTACTTCCAATAGGTCTTACTTGGTTTGCCAATGTGAAAGATTTGGACCTCTCGGGTAATAATTTTGAAATTCTTCATGCAAGCATCAAAGAGTGTCCCTTTCTTAGGAACCTTAAGCTGGATAATTGCAAGAATATACAAGAAATTAAAGGGCTACCATGGAAACTGGAATCATTTTCTGCACAAGGATGCACGTCCTTGAAATACCTGGACTTCACAGGAGAACGTCCCTCTTCGATACTAGAGCTTCTTTTGGATGGTTGCTCATTTTTAAAACAAGTTATAGGGGTTCTGCCAAAGTTGGAAAGCTTCTCTGCAAAAAACTGTACATCATTGTCTACAAGCATGTTTGTGAATCAGGTTCTTTTTTTATTCCTATTAATTAATTATTTAAATAAGTGTTAAATATGTTTTTAGTTCTTAAAAAATTAAGAAAATTTGAGTTTAGTTCCTTCATAAATTTTAATCAATTTTAGTTGTTATGCCACTCTACTTCATATTGATTTAATGTTAGTTATTACTTAGAGAAATTTTAACAGTTTCTAAACTTTTTTTGGTCTCAACAGTTTCTGAACTTTTTCCTGACAGGAATCAGTAGAAGCCGGAAACAAGATGTTTTCTTTACCAGGAACGAAAATTCCAGATTGGTTTACACATCGTGTAAATGGAGGATCAATATCTTTCTGGTTTCGAAACAAATTCCCAGTAATTTATCTGTGTCTTGTTATTGAATCGAGGGGTGAGCAAGCTATCACCATAAAGTTTAGCCCGAGAGTGTTCATCAATGGCAATAAAAAGTCCCTTGGAAATCGGAAAGTCCATGAGTTCAAGATAGCAACAGATCACATACTTTTGTTTGACATACGGTTGCTAAAATTTGAAGATAAAGAGGATGTAGTCTATTCATACAATAACTGGAATCATGTGTTGGTTTCATATGCGGATCATATTGACAACAATGGGGTACCAATCAAAGGGGTTGCGAAATATAGTGGAATTCATGTATATCAACAAGATAATTGTATGGAAAATATCCGATTCAACAATCCCCAGCAGTCATTGCTAAGTGTGAATTTGAATACAAATTCAACGGAAGCACACCAAAGAGACCAGGTGGAAAAAACTCTTCTCTGTTCTTTTCTCATTTACTCCATTCTTATCTAGCTAAATCTGTATTTGTATTTGTTTTATTTATTTTTCAGATAGCGGCAGGGATATACCAGAAAGACCAGACAGAAAATTTATCTTCACCCATTCTTTCATCGACCCGACTTGAATCTGCAATTACTGACGTGAGAAAAGGTCCAGTCCATAAACATACACTTCCAGCTAAGAGGTCTTTGGAAGGTGTCGTAAGAGAAACTTCAAAGAGTCTTCTAGAGGAGGATATTCATCCTACGACTATTTCAAATAGCCCTCCCGTCATTCAAAGTTTTTGTGTGGGTGATGATATTGAATCGGAAGCAGTATCCTCGTGTGAACTTAAATCTGAAGAGTCCTCTTCATCTGAAGGTTCTGACTCAGATGATCCCTTTGACCGTATTGATAGAAGACTCGGTATTAGCGCCAAGGAAACCGTATCATCTGCGTCACATTCTAGGGATGCTTCACTTGAATCAATTAGAGAGGCTATTAAATCCTTGGATCAGTTAATGGTTAAGGACTTATCTGAAGTCTCTTCTGATCCTGATGCACAATCTGGACTTCGTCAACTGTTGGATGTTCTCAGTTCAAGTAGCCACCCCAAGGTTACTTTCGAGGTGATGGAAGCTATTGTGGAGTTCAAGAGAAAGGCCTTTTTATCATTTCAAGAATTCCAATCTGCGGCTGAGTCTGTCAACAAATTGAAGGATTTTGAGAGGCATCTAGCTAGAATTCAGCAGCAGACTCTTGCTGGCAAGGGTCAAAGGAAGGACATCAAAACCTCGATGAAAAAGGTTTCCTTGGGCATCAAGTCTGAAAATAGGAGGAAGAAGGAGTTAGAGACAGAAATTGCAACTTTAAGAATACATATATGTATCAAAGAAAGAGACATTGAACAACTTGTGCTGAATCTCAAGGATCAGGAGGAAACACTCTCAACCTATTCAACAAGTTATGCGTCTCTCAACGATCAAGCTCTAGCACTGTTAAAGCAAGCTGATGACTTACTTGTTGCGAATAGTGGGGTAAAGCATGAGGGTAAAGCTGCTGAAGTTATTCAGAGTCGGCTCAAGTCTACCTGGTCTTTTGACCTCACCAGTCTGTTCAATAAGATTAAATATAACATGAATACTGACCATTTATGACTACAATGGGTAGTATGTAAACTTTGTATATTTCTTTGCATATTTCTTTGAAACTAAGGTAAATGGATTCTCAGTAGTAGATGAAGTAGCCTTGTTTTTTTTTCCTTAGACACACTTTTGGACTTGGAATCCATGAGAAAGTTGAGTTTGAGAAGTGTGCACAAAGTGTTTATTAAAAAGTTTGAATGAAGAGTGTGAGAGAATGAGAGAACTATGAGTACCCATACACTCCAACACAAAGAATAAGAAAAACACAACACTAAGGAACAATTACAAACATCAAACAAGAAGAATTTTGGATTTTAATGAGATATGATGTGTTTAGGGTTTTATGAGAGAAATGGAAGAACAAAGATGGAATTGTGAATAATATAGTGGAGGAATTTGAAGAACAAGTGATGGGATAATGATGGCAAGATGAAATGAAACATAAATTGCAATGAATTTCAAGGATTAAAGTGTGTTTGAAATGTTTGAAGGTGGATGTGCATGCAAGAGACAACACAGAATGAGGGAAATGTCTCAAATCTGATGTGTCCACCTGTCCAAACATTGACCTCGATGTTTTAGAACACTTATAAGAGGGGATTCACAGGGCCTCACTGAGGAGGAGGGAAACGCAACATCAACTGCTGCATCATGTTGTGCATGTCGTCCATGAGCGTCCATTGGCGAGCTTGCTCTTCCGTTGACGGGTTTGCTCAGCCCTGAGGTGTCCAATTTCGCCACGCACCCACGACCAGTTGTCGTCAGCAGTGGATGAGCTTCCTACGCCAGTATACATGTGCTCCTCCTGAAGAGGAACAAACTGTTCA